AAATATATAAAGTATTAAAAAATATAATATATATGAAAAAATTTTATTATATATATATATATAAATATATAAATATATATATATATATATTATTATAATAAATATATATATATTATTATTTTTTTTTTTTTACTTCTTTTGATTTTTTTTTATTTATATTATTTTTTTAATATTAAAATTCAATTTATTTAATTAATAAAATTTCATTCCATTATATTTTATTAATTAGTAATATAAATTTTTTTCTTAATATTAAATAATATTTTTATTTCGATATTTTTTCTATATATATTTTTTAAATTAATAATTAATTCTTATTATTTTTTTTTTATTTTTTTTTTTTTCTGCCTTAATAATTGATTTTTTTATTTTTTTTATTATTAAATCAAAATATAATATTGATTACATATTATTTTATATAATTTCGATTATAAAAATTGTTTTGTGTAGATAAATTAAAAAGAAATGAATTTATTTGTAAAAAAATCATTTAATTTTTTTTTTTTTAATTTTAATCTTTATTATTATTTTGATATTATATTATTGGTATTTTATTATATAATTTTTTTTATATGCATTTTTTTGTTTTATTTTATAATTTTAATTTAAAATATCATAATTTGATAGAGAAAAGTAAATTTTCTATTTTTTATTTTTATTATTTTTATAATATAGTTTATTATTAATCCATAACTTGTTATTAAATTAATTATATATAAATTTTTTTCACAATTATTTAAATATCATTATATAATTTATAAATATCTTAGGAAAGAAAAAATATATATAATAAAAAATACCTAAAATAAAAAATGTCATCTAATACTGAAAAGAAATAGAATTATTTAGTTGAATAAATATTAAACGAAGGTTATGATCCAGAACTATTCATGGAATATATGGCAGAAAATAAAGAAGACGGCACAAACATTGAAAATTGGACAATCATAGAATTAATTAATGTATTTTTATCTATAAATTAGTTAATATACAAAAAAATATATAAATACATTTTTAATTTTTTTTAAGGATTATCAAAATATTTTTAACATATTTAGCAATATAATAATTTGACAAATACAAATATATATTAATATTTGTTTTAAATAATAATAATTTAAAATTTTTATTTATAAAAATTGATAAAAAGATTGTTCAAAAATTTAAAGAAAATGAGACAAATATAAAAAAATAGCAATAAAATGTGAATGAAGAAAACTATAATACAAACTAAGATAAATTTAATGATAATTATTATGAATAACAATTATAAGATATTACAATATCTTAAGAAATAGAAAAATAATAGACATAAAATTAAAATAATTAATAAATCGCTTAGAATAATAATAAATAATAATAATAAATTCATTAATAAAACTAATAATCAAATATTAATAATAAATAATATATTAATCAATTATAAAATAATAATAATTTATAAAACATAAAATAAAATGCAGATATATAAATATAAAAATAAAATTATGTTTAAACATAAAACTAACATAAAGCTTAAAACTAAAATTAGTAAAAATTAAAACTTATTAAATCAAATAAATAAATAATAATAATAATAATAATAATAATTATAATAATAATAATAATAATAAAAATAATAATAATAATAATAATAATTCTAGTAATTGTAATAACAAAATATATTATAAAATTAATAAATATAACAACTTCATGATGTTAAAAATAATTTTTAGTCTGAAATTAATTAAAAATAAATATAGTAATTAAATACATGCCCAGAAAAAAATTAAAAAAATAGCATATAAATGCATTCATATTAATATCCTCCTCCTCCTATTTAATAACAATAAAATTAAGATTTTTTTAACTTTTAACCATAATAAGCCAATTGCGTCGATAATTATTTTACTTAATAATAATAATTTACTTAAAAGGACTAAATGTAAAATCCTTAACATGAATTTAATAATTAAAGCAACCCATTCAATTAAATATACTTATAACCAATTTCATAAATTTAATTAAACCCTTTTTAAGAAATTAAACAGACAATACCTCCTCCACAAGCTCCAATCTAAGGTTAAAATCCTTTTTTAGATTTTACAGAATTTTAATTTAACCAACCTCCTTTATAATAATAATAGTAAAATACAAATGTTTAAAAATTGTCTACAAAAAATTAATAAATATAAAATAAAGCTGCTGCAACCATATTAGAACTTTTAGACTTTACAAATACACCAACTTCTGATTAAGTAGCTTCTTAAAAAAATGTTGTAGAATAATAGGCAAATGTATTATAAAAAAAACCTAGTATAAAAGCAAATAACGAAGAAATTTAACTATAACCATATTAAACAAAAAAATAATGTAAAAAAAGCGTACTTACAGCAGTTGGAAATAAAGATGATGTAATTGTAAGCATTTCGGGTTACGAAATAAAATAAGGTTCTTTATTTTCAGGAGGGGCTTTCGCTATTTATAATATAAACACCTAACCATTTAATTGGAATGTAAAAAGAAAAAGCAGTGATTTTATTTGGCTAAGAAGGATCCTTATTAAAATGTATCCTGGTGTTTCAGTACCTCCTTTACCTACTAAATAGTCAAAAACTGTAGATTAAAAATTTTTAGAGAGAAGAAAGTTGTAGTTTGAATGCTTCCTTAAAGATGTTATGAATTAATATAATCTTAAGTGTTCTAAATATGTAAATGATTTTTTATCTATTATTGATGATAAATAATTCAAAGAAAGATAAAATGAAACTGAAAAGCATGTAGGACCTAAAAAATTATAGGAAATGATTACTACTACTGGATATGTATTTATTTATTTTTTATTTATATATATATATATATATGTATATATATATATATATATATATATATATATATATATATATATATATATATATATTATTTTATTAACAGTATATTATAAATAATAATCCTTAATTTTAAAATAATATTTAATTTTATGAAAACTTTCAAGGATAACCAGATAGTAATTATGATAAGCTATAGTCTTTGATAAAACATTTAATTAATACATATTAATAAGTTTAGTCTACTCTTCTATAAATTAGTGAAGTCTATAATTAAATGAATTAAAGTGTTATTAATTATAACCTTTAAGCAACAAATGATAATTAAGTAATATTTTAATTTTTTTTAAAAAAAATTAAATAATGATAAAAAGATTAAAGAATTAGAAAACGTATACAAGGTTATGAATAATTTTTAAGTTATAGAAGCTAATTCTATTAGTGATTAAATAAAATAGTTAATACATAATTAATATGATTTCTTAAAATACTATAGATAAAGTCTAAGTGGTTTCAAAGAAATTTTAAAAACTAGAAATGAACTTTGTAGTTGGATAAATAAAAAAGGAGGTAAAATTTTAATATATATTAAAATATATATATATATATATATATATATATATATATATTATATATTTATATATATATATATATATATAGAAGCCGTAGAAGGTGTTTTTGGTGGACTTTTTAGATAAAATAAAGAGAGTATAAATATTCCTTCCAAAGTATTTATATATATTATAATAATTTTATTTTTATTTACTAATAGAATATTAATTAATTGGAAGAATAAATTGGATATTATACTTAATAAAGTATAGACACTTTTAGAATCATATTAAATAATAAAGCAAAAGCGTATAGTAAAAATTTCATTGACTACTATAATACTAGAGAATAACTTTTACACTAAGTAATATAATTTACATAATATATATATATATATATATATATATATATATAATACATATTTATTTTAAAATATTTATTATTTTAAGACTATAAGCGAATTAAATGGTTAAAAAGTACATCTTGAAATGATAAAAGATAATTAAAATGATAAAATATAAATATAACTTGTAAAAAAAAAAGATTGATAAATATAAAAATGTTAAATAATTAAATCAAAAAGTATTTTTATGAAAATATAAAGTATATTTTTAATTTTTATTTTTTTTTAATAATCTAAATTAAATGTTTATTTTTAATTTTTTTTTTTATTTAATGAATATTTTTTTTTAAATATAAATTTTTGTTATAGATAATTTTTTTATTTTATATAATTTAATATAAATTATTTAAAAAAAAAAAAAAAATTAATAATTAAATTTTAAATTTTTATATATATAATATAAATCATTTTATAAATTAATTTAGTCTAATAATTTAAAATTAATACAAATTAATTTATAATTAATTTATTATACTTAATTACAAAAAAATATTTTAGGAAAATTTTATTTAAAAAAAATAAATAATATTTAAAAATTATTAATATTATGTTATTATTTTAAATAAAATAAAATAATGATATTATTATAAAATTATTACTTTTTATATTATAGATATTATTAATACATATAATTTCAAAAAAATAATTATATATTATTAGAAAAAAAGAAAAATAATGAAAACTAATAAAAAATATTAATTAAACATGTCAAAAAAGTTGATAAACTCTATAAAATTATTATTATTTTGTTTTATAATATTTCTAATATATATTGGCAAAACATATTACATTCCTCGTGAATAATATTAATAAATATAAGACCCATTTATGGATTTAATAAAACCATTAAATTTATAATTACAAAAAAATGAATAATATGCTAAACTTTTATAAATATTAAGTACTTTATTTATAATTTTATCTTCTTTAATATTATATGCATATTGGATATTTAAAATAGATACAGGTAGGATAATATATTCATTTATAATTTTTTTTTTACTTCGAATTTTTATATTATAAACTGTTATTTTTCCTTTCCCTGAGGACTATATATGGGAAAAAGTAGAATTTCCAAATATTTTAATTGGCTAGAATAATACAAGCGATTTTTTTTGGGCTGGAAGCTCAGGGATATTAACTTTGATTAGTTTAGAATGGAAAAGGAAATAAAAATAATTTTTGTTTTTAATTACTATATTATAAAATATATATGTTTCTTTTATTATGATTGCTTTTAGAGTACATTATACTGTAGATGTGATTATTGGAATTTTTGTAGGACACTATTCATTTATTTTTGTGGAGTAATATATTGATATTATTGATAATGGTTTTATTAAAATATCTAATTATTTAATATATAGAATTCTTTTTGGTAAAAAAGATAATTAGATTAAATATTTTGCTAATGAATTGTAAAAAATTAATAATTCTTAATAACAATAATATGAGTGAAGAAAAATTATATTTTTTTTATTTATATAAAAAGCAATTCTTAATAAAAATTAAAAAAAAATTACTTATATTTATTTATTTTTAATTTTTTTTTTTATTTCTATATAGATTTTATAAACTAAAAATATTTTTATTTTAATTAAATATTTTGAATTTTTAAATAAAATATTATTCTAAAAAAATATATAAAAACATTTATCAATAATTTAAAAATACCCGTTATTATAATTTATATTAGAAGTTATTAAAAATTCGAAATTTTTAGAGAATATTTTAAACTTTAATTTAGGTTTTCTAAGATTAATTCATACTTAATTTTATTATTTTAGCTTATTTATATTTATAATAAATTTCTTTAAAATACTAACATTACTTTAAAATATACAAAAAAAAACAGTTTTTAATAATTTTGATTTATTAGATATTTTAATTCTACCTTATTTTCATATACAGTTATAATTTTGGTCAATTATTTATCTATATTTTTACATTTTCAACTTTTTATTATTGATATTCTATTTTTCTTTGTATATTACAATATTTTTTGCATTAAATTTCTAAATTTTTTTAATTCTTTTAAATACAAAAACGTGTGCTTTATTAATATTTAAATTAAAATTAAACTAAAGAATTTTATTGTTTTAATTTTATTTTTTTTATTATGATATACATTATATAATTTAAAATAAATTATATTCATTAGTATCAAAATTATTAGAAATTAATTAATTTTATTTAAAATTAATTTTATTATTTAAATTTTTAATATTTTTTAAATATATTTTACTATGTTTTATTTAATTTAATTTATTAACTAACTATTTTTTTTTATAAATTTTATATTATTTCATAGATTTTTTTTATTGGTATTTTTTTTTCTAGAATTTTTTTTTATTTTTCTGAAATATTATTTTCTGTTTCTTCCTTATTCTTATATTTTCTCGTATTATTATTTCATTTAACATATTTAATTGTTTTATTTTTTTCAAATAAATTAACATATATTTTTATATATTTTTTATTTTATTATATATAATAATTTTTTATTAAAAAATATATTTTATTACTTTATATTTAATATTTATATAAAATATTAATACGTAAATTAGTATACTTGAAAAATCTTAAATATAAAAAAAATGTTATTTATTTTAACTATTAAAAAAAAATTCATATAAAATTATAAATATTTTTATATATTTTTTTATATTATAAAATTTATAAATTATTATAATAAGTATATATTTTTAATATAATAGAAATTTTGATAAAAAAAAGTTAATTTAAACGCTTATAGGTTTAATGAAATATATAGTTTGCTTTTATATTATTTTTATTATTAAAAACAAATATTATTATTAAAAATTTAAATAGATAAAAAAATATTATATATTATATATATATATATATATATATATATATATATTCGTGTTAAATTTACATTATTAAATACCTTATATTTGATTATTTTTTAAAAAATTAGGATAATTTATATAAAAATAAAAATTTCAATCCAATATTAATTAATTTTATTAATATTTTTTTGTTTAATGTTAATAATCTTAATTATTTATTTATTAAATATTTTATTTTATGATTTTAGATTAAAATCACTTTATTATTAATTATCAATATAATGATTTTATAATATTTAATTATCTTCCTAAAAAAATAGTTTTTTGTATATTACTTTTATTATAGTATTTAATTTTAATTAAAAAAATTTGAATATTGTTATAATTCATTTTTACTTGAATTATTTAATTATTATAATTCATTAAATTATTTAAAATTATCTTCTTCTTCTTCTTATTATTATTATTATTCTTATTCTTCTTATTCTTATTCTTATTCTTATTCTTATTCTTATTCTTATTATTATTATTATTCTTATTCTTATTCTTATTCTTATTCTTATTCTTATTCTTATTCTTATTCTTATTCTTATTCTTATTCTTATTCTTATTCTTATTCTTATTCTTATTCTTATTCTTATTCTTATTCTTATTCCTATTCTTATTCTTATTACTTTTCGTTAATTCTTATTCT